AATCCAACGTCTGTTGATATCCAAGGAATTGCATTCGCTATTAAACGCTGCAGAAAGAGAAACTTCTTGTTTTCGCCTGTGGGACCATAAAAGAAACTTTTTAATTATATCTTTTCAGGGAACAGATAATTTCGTTTTGCATTCATGAAATTGGGGTAAATACAACTTTGAGATAACGCGTTACTGTTTGTAAGGGAAGAGTGAAGTAAGTTTAGAAAATTATCTTTTGCAAATCTGCTACGTGTTGTGCCCTACAATCCAGTGATTAAATTAAAAGGCTGTAATTTGGTTTACCTCACTGAAAAAATTGACCGTACACAAGCATATATGCAAACATTCAAGACATGCCACGAATTTGCTCTGTCAAGCCATATGCAAAAGATATCCAAATATTGTCTATCGATAGAACAGAAACGATTATTGTAATATTCCTTGATAAATCGCAATATGCCCTATTGCGAATAATAGCCATTACTTTATTGCTGTAAGACTTTGGGGGCCGCAGCTTGGGTTGCCTTTGAGTAACTGGGAACTACTTGTAAAAATCCTTCGATTTAATCAATGAGAACACCCGCTGTAAACGTGCCGACCTGGAGATAATTTGTACAAACCACACGCCAGCTGGTCTTTGGAACTCCCATATAAATTTATTGACCCTATTACCATTCAAATTCGTCTGAAAGAATGCAAATTTATTTCAAAGTAACTTACTGCTTTATAAATTGACAAATTAAGTATGGCTTGTCACAGCGACGGAGTATTCTTTCTTTTTTCATTAAAAACAGGTGAAGATTGTAAGTAATATTTGGTTTCATTTACAAGGCGAAGACTGACTGCATAAAATAATTTCTCTTTCTGGATGCCTCTCGTCAGAGATAACGGATAACAACGCATTATTTGCTACAGAAAACTAAAAGGCAAACTGGAAGCCGCTGAGTACCCATTCCAACTCAAATGTCTACCGGCCTTGTGGGAATGTACAAATAAAAGTCATATTTGGGGAGACATTTTAAGGGACTTAGAATTGCAAAGTAAATTTGTTTCGTCGATAGGTAATGAAGGCAATCCTCTGAATGTAAATCTTCACTACGCGGATGAAGTAAAGTTCCAGGTAGGAAATTATAAGATCGGGACTTTATGACCAAAATAAGAAAATTTTGCCCAATTTTGTTGGCCTTTAAAATCAGCTTAATTTTGCGATCATGCATGTAGAAATGCACAAAATTTGCAGCATTTTTAAAAGGAAATTGGCACATTTTCGCATTCCTGATGTTAATCGAAGCACCTTCGGATCACGATTGGCCAAACTTCCTAGATCGATTGTGTTGAATAGCTTTATCTGTAAAATCCTATTCGGCTGATTGATACTACAGTAGGCAACTCTGGCTTGCGTAGCTAGTACCCAGATTACCCAGGGGAACTATTTAAATGTTGTATGTCTCAGAGAACATTTAATTTGGACCCTTGTTGTCTAGTTAATTTGCACAAATTATTACTACTAGCATAATTCCTTTGTATTTTATTTTAGTTTTTAGTATAATTCTGGAAAAATTGTTGTTCGCAACTTATATGCAAATAACATTTTAATTTTCCTGAAGGAATCTGACCAATAGATTTGCATAAATGCAACTATACGCCAGATTCAAATAATAGCAAGTGTACAGTCGTTTAGGACACCATTTTTACTGTCTCTGACTTTAGCTGACAGGCTGCAAAAGTTTCTTGACAGCAGGAATATTAAAATCCTACAATTTATACTAGGACGTACCTCATTTGGATGAGTTGGCGAGGCGTGCCCACGCACTGTAAAAGTTGTCGTATTTATAAGAGGGTACGTGCCGTTTGTAAATGTGCAGCGAATTTCGTATGGGTATTTGGATTTTAAAATTGGCATCACCGTCAGAGTAGCCCAGATGTGTCTGTGCAAGACAGCCGTTTGATTCGTTAAATCTTAATAAGATAAGAAATCACTTAGTTCTCAGTCCAGTTGTGGAGGATAAACATTCAAAAAGTCATCCATAAAACGGTGACCAAATAGTAGGATCGTGAATGGTACTTTTTGAACGGCAGTAAACGCGGACATGTTGATGTCCGTTATGGTTCGTATAACTTCAGCACAAGACCTGAAAATATAGTTCCTTGCGACCAGTGCCCTTACGTGAAATACAGTATGGTGAGTGCTGCAAGAAAAATTCCAGAATTTGCATAGGACTGGTAATTACTTGCAAAACAACATTGAGTAGCGTTGCAATACTATTTATCATGCAGTTTAATTTCAATTTTTTTCAGTCACGCTAGGATACCGACTCTTAAATGAGCTTCTTTCTGACCGCTGCGAAAAGGGTGATTCTGTAAAATATGGCAACTGAAAAAGTATGCACATTTATCACTGATTTTGACTGTCTTTGTAAAGCATGCACGTTAAAGGAGCCTGTCCCCCCAGCGCTGCCATGATCACTCATTCTGCCTGCTCTGTCAATGTGGGTAGTCAATCGATTTTTGCGCATCGCTGATTATTGGTTCACACTGGACTCGCCTCGCCACTTGTGAGGACTGATCTACTAAGCATGAATTAACAGTCAAGTCAGTCAATCGGTCAATCGATTTTGCGAATCGCTGATTACTTGTATGCGTCTGATTTGTGGTCAGCGCTGGCAGAAACACACTGGACACTAAGTCCATTCAATAGGCAAGGTGGAACTCACTGGGCCTTTCGCCCGGGTGCGGGGCGGACGCGAGGCTGCGGAGCTCTCTCTTTCTCTCCTCATGGTCGAACTCCACCCCAGGCCGAGTCAACCCTTCTGTTAATTCTTCTCCTACTGATTCTCTACAGAATACGCTCTCCTTAAACCTTGGCTTGCACAAATTCTATCTTCTACTAAGGAACAGGGCCTGGAAGATCGCAATAGTTAGGGTTTAACCGGCTTGGTCTTAACCACTTTGCGATATATTTGAGAGCCTTCGGAGAGGGTTTACTAAAGACTCTCTCAGACCGTTGTAAAGTGAAAAATGCTCGGACGGTGAACCAGGACGAATGTCTAGCAAACCTATTTGCACGGTGCTGCACCACCGAGAGCGCATTTCCCTGTTTTTTGCATAATTCTCGTGAGAGATGAGGGAATTCTTTCCTACATAAAATTATAAAGCAAACTTAGAGCCGCTGGGTATTCATAAAGACTTAAATATATCTCGGTTTTGTGTGGTATATACAAATAAAAGTCACATTTATACAGAAAATTGTGTATTTAAATGACCAGCGTTTTTAACAGTACTCATTTACACAGACGAGAGAAATAGCTATAAATTTGTCTGAAAAATTTAAGTTTAATTTTAATGTAAATTTACAGCCATACTACTTTCTTGAATTTTAAAATAACGTTTTCTGAGTCAAATGTATTTATACAAACAGGGTGTCCCAAAAAATGTATACACATTTTAAGTTATTGTAAACTTGTTGTTTATTATAATTTTGCTATTTCAGGAACATAAAAATATTTAAAAGTATCATTGTATTGTTTTTTCACTGCATTTTGACTTTTGCAGCAATGGCTGAATTGAGAGAAGCTACCAAACATGAATGCACCCAAATACAAAGAGAATGGTTTTATGGCATGTGTGATTCCATTGTTTCGCGTTGTCGGCTGTGTCATGATCAAAATGAACGTCAATTTGAGAACATTTAGTGATAAATACATAAAATACTACTTGTAAATATCTTAGCATTTATTTATTAATACAATTATTATAAACACCGATTTTACAAATAAGTAAAATGTGTATACATTTTTTTTGGGACACCCTGTATTTGACGCATTGTATAAGAAGTTATTTCAGATTTTCTTAAATTTTTTGCATATTTTCAAACAATTTCCCGTGTTTTTGAGCCTAATTCCATACCTCTGGCTTCCGTTCCAAGTGTACGTCAATACCTCAACAATAAGGTATTTTAAAAAATAAGTTATCAAAAAACGTGACTTTTTGGATATTATTTGTTATGAAGATAGTCGTGTGCGCCCAATTTATGATTTCATCGAAAAACCAACACTCACTGTAGAGCACAGAGAACGTCGCAACAGAAGTCTGTTATTGTAATGCGTAAGATCAATTAAAACCTTTATACAATAGGTAGCCTAGTTAATTGAGGTATAATTAGATATTCATCTGAGTCATATCTGAAAATGTTACCTTTTCCGTGGTAATGTAAAAGAGGAAATGAAGTATTTTGTTATGATTTTAATTTTCTTGGAAATAAATGATACATTTCTGGCTTGAGCTGAAAGTACGCACTTTTCCCTATGTATATTTTGTTTTGGTATTATTTAGTTTTGTGTGGCGGGATATCAAGTGAGATCGGAAAACAAGCAGGTTGCTTGGGCTAAAGTAACAATTCTCATCGAAAAAAATGCAAAGCTCAATGTTAGCCGCAAATGGCCTGAAAAGTAAAGAAAAATTAATAAAGTTTTAACTAGGAGTGATTGGACTCAAGAAATAAGCTGCTTGATTTCATGAGTCTGCTTTATACTAATCATATTACCTTCTTTGATGAGGCAAGTTACTGTCCAAACACAAATTAAAGACAATGATTTACTAGAAAGTAAAAGGCCCAAAGGTGTGCCTTACTTACAAAATTCCTTTTTCTGATCAGGAAAGAGTCTGCTTTTGTAAATTAATAAGTAGTTGCACGTTAGGTAGCAACGTATCAGTTTGATGGCGATTTTATTACGAGCAGACGTAGTGGATTGGGATCTAAATTTTAACTGATTGTTAGTGAACAGTGATTTTTATTTAAAATCATGGAAAACTCAGTTGTCACTTTGGTTTCTTCTGGCATACTTGGTATCACAATCCGTCCCAAGAGGAGCCTGGGATCACAAAGATCCCTAGAAAAATACGGGTTGGGATAGGCGAAAATGCTTCCTTCGGGATACGACGGGTTCAAAGCCATGGGCAGTTCGGGATCACTTTCGCAAGAGAGCGTATAATTAGCGTCAGGTGAGGAAATATTTGTCACTTCTATGGTGAATATAGCAGTGTCATTGAGAGGCACATGTTCCGGTCCCGTTATGCTAATTTTAGTAGGTCCATCCACAATCTGAAAGATAAAAGAAACTTTAGTAGTTCTTGGAAGGTGTGCTTATCACATACTAAAATTTCTTGCTTTCCATCTGAAGATGTGCAAAGGACATAAAATGTGATACTACTGATAAAGTCGTGAAATGACGCTTCTAAAAGATACAGTACATGCCAAATGAGCCAGGCCGATAAGTTATTTTTTAATTGGGCTCCTGTTTATGGAAGCCAGCGTTACGAGTCCATGGGTTCCTCGGCAGGCATACCTTTTAAGATACTAGATGTTCTGACCTCCTGGAATTTTCTTTTGCATAACGCAAAAGGACGCTCCTCAGCATACCATGGCGAAGCGTTTCTTAATGATTCAACAGGGCTAAGATATATAACTGGTATTGCTGCTCCAAATCTGCTTAACAAATGTGCGGCGGGAAAAGTTAGTTTCGTGCGCGGTTCGTGAAAATTCTTTAATAAGATAAATTTTTGCTCAAACCTTGGACGCAAGCAGATAGCATTGCTGGCAAAGACTGGATTGTCGACTGAAGTGGCCATTTCTGGTTCATCAACCGTCGTCAGACGGTCATACCCACTCCAATTGGTGCACCGTCGGAGACTCGAACTAGCGGCTTTCGGAAGAGAAGTCTTGCGGTCTATCCATTGAGCCGGGAGGTCGTTACCGGCAATGCTATGTGACTTAACTACAAGCTGTGTGCGGACATTGGCGGGGCTCGAGAGTACACCCCAAAGCAGAGTGGGACGAGAACGTTTCTTTAACGATCGGTGAACGTTCATCGAGGAAAATGAGCCTTGTAGAACTATGAAATTGTGATAAAAATATGCACAATCCTCCTTAGGGCGTTAGCCTGCAATAATCTTCCCAAATACAACATTCGCTCAAGTTATGACACCCGACTAAAAAAAATTATCTTTACACCCTGTGGATAAATTACTTCTGTAGATGGGTAGGCATTCAGCGGAACACATTTTGAAACCTATATTTTCGACCAAGGCAAAGATCGCGATTTTAGCAAGAATTGTTAACATCATATAATTTCTCGACCTTTTAATTAACTGCAAATGGTTGTCGCTTATTAATGAGATAATTAACTGTTCAATTAGATCGACTGAAGGCATTCTGCCTATGCACGCAACATCAAACTGCGCTTACGAATTTAAATTTAATTACAGATACATCGGACGCAGGCAAAGACAATTGGCAACGCTGTTAGCTGAACATATGCCGAAGTGGTTGTTCAGGGCGGAACATGAAAAACTTAGGAGTTCAATCACAAAGCACCTAGTGGATATGACCATACGGTCGATCAAAAGACTGCATTAAGCGTCGTAATTTGGGCAACCACCGGTCGTCTTCTACCATCTGCGGAGGCCGCTACAGTATGGAGAAGGAAACCGGAAGTCTGTAAGCAGCTGGATCATGTGATCACCCTCGTGTTACCGTGGTAATGGTCGATAAACTCATTTCCGCTCACGCTCCCTCGTCCCCACATAGGACTGACTACGACCCTGTCCTCTCCCCCCGCCCCCTTTAACCACTTCGCACAGGCTTTCATGAAAATGAACTAACGTAAACTGCCACGCTGTGACAACTTCCTCCCCCCTCCATTTCCCACACTCACCCTTAACTAATATGCTCTACTGTCTTTACATATAAAGTTACACCCTTAATTGGAGAGTTACTTATGTCATTACTAAGCCAAGAAGGTTTCTAGTTGAATATGGGGTCGCGAAATTATATGACATTAATAAATCCTGCTAATCCCGTGATCTTTGCCTTGTTTAAATGTCTTCTGGGGAAAAAATAGTTCAACGTATATTTTGAATCAGTAAGTGTCCAACGCATAGCTGAGAATTTGTTTTAGCATAACATCATAAGTTGCCGCAAATAAATGAAATTTTTAATAATGTATATTGTGCTTCGTATTCTCTTGTTATAAGCACGAAAACTACGGAAAAAGTTAGCGTACTTAAGCGAGGATGGGTGTTTTTTTAAACAAGCGTCATGCGCTTCTAGATGAAATGACTACTGTATGGGTAAACATGATTGATACCGCAATAATTCACTACGCAGGTAGGAACTCCTTGTAAAATTCTTCAGAATTCTACAACAAACATAAGCTGCTATCTTATTTTATGAGGTTCGGCAGTTTGATACGTTAAATGTCCTGAACGAAGATGAGCGATTAACATGTTCGAACCTCTATTTCCTCAGTTTCAAAGGGCATATGAATGTGAGCTAACAGGCGTTATTTGTTTGCAGCTTCCTTTATTCTTCGTTAAGAAACAACAGATTTGCGAACAAAAGAACAAGCGTACTTTTTAACTTTAACAAGCAGCTAATAATCAGTAACGGTTTTGTAAGACAATGTGCAAAATGTTTCATATTAGTACTTTATGGAACGATTTTCGGTTTCAACAAGATAAAAAACAATAATACTCCTACATCTGCATTTTCCAGTTATGCTGAATTATACAACAAGCTGCAAGTACTTACCGACACTTGGTCAGAGCACTGCACATTAAAAGTTGTTTCGCCTACTAGTGGATGATTCTTGCCTAACATGAACAGTTTTATGGGCTCTCCGCAAGAGGAGCTCTGATTGACAGTTAAGTATGCCTTCCATTCACATTCGCCCTTCAGTGAGTCATTCGCAGAGACGTTTAGTTTTCCGAGCAAAATCGTAATACTTCCGCTAGGCGCAGTAGCAAACAAAAGAAACAATTTTAGGTAAAACAGAATTTGACTGGATTGCAGAAAATGGAGGAAAACATTATATTCACAAAAATGCGCAGCAGCTCAAAATAATTATTATTTTTAAGTTTATTTACTTAATTCCAGATTTATTATAGTCTAGTTTTCAGTCGAAGCATATACCGCCAACGTTACATAAATATTCTTAAATAACAACTATATACAAATCTCAACTACAAAAGCTAACTAAAATAAAAGCTAAACGAAACTAAGATAAAAAGCAAACTAGCGATTAGTGGTGTCTAAAGTGCGGAACAAACTCAACTCTTAATAAATTAGTTATCTATTATGCTAAATAAAGTATCTAATAATTTATTTATTGTTGTCCAAACATCTATAGCAAAGCAGCACGTTTTAAGCTCGGTCAAACTGACTGCACATTTGTGAGTCTTTGTCAGTAAGGGAAAAGAAACTCAACAAAAGACATACTGTCCCAGAACGCGTTTAGGGTTTCCAAACTCGGCATTTGTGACGGGACGTGTACAAGCAACGTAGAAGAAGTGACTCATAAATAGTCCTTGATGGAACAGAGGCGACTCAAATCGCAGCTGTAGACTATTTCCAGAAAAGTCTGATGGAAATTCGCTTATAATTCTAACAATTTGTGTCGAGAGGTTATCAACTGCTCCGGTCGTAGGCAGTCCATAGATGATACTGAACTTCACCGTCTTGGTCTGAAAGGAAAGAAACGTTTAGTGTTTTATACTACCTGAAACCATCGAAAACACATTCTTGAAACAAGTTAACATATTACAGGGTATATAAAATAAAATGTAGGTCTTATTTTATGTAGTTTTCAAAGTGCTTTATTTCTGATTAGGTTTTGTCAATTGTTACATGCCTGACACTAACATAATTTCACGCATACAACCAGAAATACCAGTTTTCGGATGTAAAGGAAAACAATTTCCAGAAATATCGGCATTTGTTGCCGAAGTTACACACGGTGAAATAAAAACATCTCTGGCAGAGTTAAGAGATCGCCAGAACGAGATAAGACAAGGAAACTAATGGTCTTTTAATGGAGAGAACAAAATATAATCGGAAAATACAACACATTCTGTTGATTGGTAATCCTGAATATTTCCTTACATTTTTTCTATAAAGCGATATTTGACATGCTTCAATCTTTAGTGGACCGATAATGAAGATCTCTATCCAATCCTGGAGCGGCCTTCGATCTAACTCAAATAGGAACCCTTACAGTCTGAAACCCACTTCAGCCATGCAAGCCCGCAGTTAGAGGAATTCTCCTGAAAATGGAAGTGAACACACGGTACAGGCATAAATCAGTTCATATAATGGTAGCGGTTACAACAAAACTAAACTTTACAATCCTTTTTAACTCAAAGCGACTTAGACAGCGTTTTTCGGGGCACGTTTCTGCATAATTGTAGCATTAAGTATGAACGAACTGGTCATCAAATGAGCCCAGAAATAATCCATACCTTTTCCAGATAAATACTTTGAGCTGGATTCTGAATAGGCATTTGCCCACGGAGAAGCAGGTAGTGAATCTCGGGTAGAGGTTCATCCACTTTAAACATGGACGTAGAAATGCTGATTTTTATAAGGCTTTCATTAACGGTCAAATTTGCAGCATACGCGACTGAAATCGTTAAAAACAAAAACGTTGATTAAGTAAGACAACTTTTGTAAAAATCTGAGGATGGACATGTCTTTATAACATCGCAATGATTTTTCAGCATCCTAATTATGTAATATATACCCGATATTTCATGAACGTTTGTCTTCAAGTCCTCTGCTTGCTGCAATTTGAATAATAACAGGATAAGAGTAAACACTTAGATTTAAATTCGGTGTTTGAACTGTCCGATTTCTTGCATATTCACAGGCGTTCACGCACCCTTCAAGCACTAGGGAACAGTCTTGTGCTCCTTTATATATGCACAGCGGTTGTGGCCTGTTTGTACATATCACATAATTATGAAAGTATCCCAAGCGAATAAGTTATGTAGCTGACTGTTAAGAGGCAGCTTAAAATTGTCAACAACCTAAAACGACAGTGGGATGGCTCGTTTTGGCTTACATGTTCTCGTCAGCCAGCCATTTCCAACTACAGGTTGTGCACCACCCGATGATCAAACCTGTGACTAGTTTATCAGAAGTCCAACGACCTGCCCAGTGGGATGCGGTTTCCAGCCTTGTCGGTTTACACCAATAATTTTGATTTTATTAGAGGAATGCTTCACCAATCAATTACGCACCAACACTCCACCTATAATCCTAGAAGCTGTGCTCCTGCTCGCCGTGCTCAAGAGTTAGCCCTAAAAGTGAAGGGGACTAATGAATTCCGTAAGCGATAGATGAAGCATCCATACACCCAAGGTTGTTACATGTATACGACTGACTACCTGAATAAAGAGGCAATTTCGGCGAAAAAATAGGTATCCAAGATCACATAATTTACAGCACCAAGGAAGTCGTCTGAATGCATTCCAGCACCACGCTGGCTGTGAAAATGGCTTCTACGAGTCGAGAAAATTATTCGAAAAAAATGATTATAAATAAGAGTCCACTGAGAAGTTATAGTTTGTCAAGTAAACAAGGAAACGTAAACAATCCAGGCAAGTATTCGTGGAGCTTAGTACAAATATGGAGTCTCAGTATCCACAAGTAACACTTCCACTCGTCAACTCCATGGTAACTGTCAAACTATAAGATGACAGCTCATGCATTCATAAGAGCATATTATTAGAACAGCGAAATAGTTTCTCGTCTTTGGGTCCCTGTACGGTTATGGAATATACATACGCCTCATCGGAGCCGTTTGCTAGTTTAAATAGAACATCAGTGAGGGATGCAGAGTGGTTTTTGAAATCGTATGATGCCTTACTGTCTATCCACAACAGTCATGAGGTCAATATCGGCGAACAGGAGAATGAGAAGCAAGTGAAGTTTGACGAGACCCTTGCCTGATGCTGAAATAATCCGTTTTTATATGCTATCTTAAATGCCTATGGAAATATTCACGAAGTAAAAATGATGGTCAGGGCAAGCGTATGCATGACACGAACAGGCGTTGAACTTTAACTTGCAGGGAACATCATCAATCAGTTCAAATGACAGAGTAACAGCGGTAATCTTGGCCTGTCAACCTGCGCCGATTGAGCGTAAATTAGTACACAGGTTCAGCTACTTATCTGGCGAAAGTATGGCGGTTAGTGCAAGTTCTTGCGGAATGTAAGTCCGAAGAAGATGGACGAGTAAGTGATAGATAGTTAAGTCACCTATCATACGCCAAGATTTCGAGTCTAAGCTGGAGTGCCTAATTAAACAACAAAAGTTAGAGAAAAATCGAGAGTACCGTCCACAAACTTCAACCTCAGCATAGCCTGTCTTTGAGAAGCTGATTTTCGGGAGTCTTTTGAACAAAAACTTTGATGTACATGATCCCGTGTGGCACCATTACTTTACTTCCTTAAAGCTAGTTGATGAATTTTGTATTGAACTGGGAAGTAAGCTATGTGGGCAAGGAAATTTAGTTTTATTTTATGCGTCTTGCCTATCTAAAAAGGGTTGCTCGAAAGCTGCTAAATTTTAGGAAATGAATCAAAATATTTTGCTTTTTTCACTCCGCACACGCAGCCAAGACAACAATGTCATTATGCTTTATACTGAAATAACTGTCTTATCATGAAATTCAGTCTGTTGTGTATTAAGCTTTAACTTTGCCATTTGTTTACAATTCTGGAGAACTCCTAATTAGGCTGACGCCTGGAATCTCTTTTTAGATGTAGTGTTGGAAATTATTTTAAACAAAATAGCAACGGCGAAAATAAGTATATGGCTACAGCATTGACTAGGTCGACTAGCTTCGAGGCGCTTTTCCAAAAATGGTATGAGAACTTTATTCCACCGATATCATTCGACCGTTGTGAATGTTGACTTGAAGGGTATCAACATTCTTCTCAACATTTTTACTTTCAAAAGATGCAAACGGCATTCATATGCACGACTGTGAAGACCTTTTTGTTAAAGAAACAGCCAGAACCCTTTTTACACTACCCCATATTTTTAAAAGAGCACGACTACATCCCTTCGATCACTTCGAAAAAACCCAAATCCAGCAATTATTTTTCGTAAACAGAGAACTCACTGGGATCACTGTACGGCGAGTAATGAGAAGGGGATAAATTTGAGCTATTTTCCTTGTTTTCATTGGTTGTTAAAACTGAATGTCGTGAGACGCCTAATTAATCGGGCAACGGATATCAAGATTACATTCCGTCATTGAACCCCCAGCGTTTACGGTATAGCAATAATACTTTTCTGGAAATATTATATTCAGCAAATGATGGCCTACTCTCATTACAGGTATTTATATAAAGTTCCTTGCAGTTTCATTTTCTCCGTATTTTACAAATACCTTATAAATATCCCCATCAATACGGTGTGGCAATAAACTAAAAATGTTTTAGAAAAACAATTTTCTGTTTTTACTAAACGGACGCAGGGTAAGGATCAATATCTGCATTCCAATAAAGGGTGCGGTGAAACAGTCTAAACATTCTATAACGAATAACTTTCAAAATGCAGGTGAGTTCGAAAATAGGTAGTCGACCACATGTTCCTGGAGCAAATGTCTTAAACGAACTTTCAAATCTAATAGATATTCAGAAAATACGTCCCGCGATTATCCTTAGCCGATAGAGTTAACTGCATAAAAGGATATCTACGATATTTAGGCAAAAAATAATAAAAATATAAAGGACAAGCTGTTGCAGGCATAAGGAGTTTAGAGTGCCGTTGGCTTGCCTGTGTTTAAGTGGGGGCTTACCGATGTTTTCTTGCATTTCCAAGTATATAATCGCTGCAGTTGTCTTCGAATCTTCCACTGACGTCCAATTTTGACTTTTTATTTTAATGAACTTCGGCGATTTTACTGAAACGTCTTTTACTTTTAAAGTCAGTGGTTTCGGAAAGAATACCTTCATCTGCGACAAAAAAATGCCAGTTATTATTTTTAGTTGACGTTTACATAGAAGTTAAAGCATAGAGTTTAGAGGAATTGGGATGGTCATTTTAAATGGATATCTGCAATGCGAATGCTTGATTTATTTTTGGCTGATTTTATTTGAAATTTCAACGGCTAAACCTCTTTTGGTTCGTACTTCAACACATATTTTGACAATGTCTAGGGAACGAGCATTGTTCAGAATAAAATGAAGCGCCAAGTTGCATTATGGTCACCATGTGCTGTGGTAAAACGGACTGGTTGAAAAACTAAGACCTAATATCCACTAAAAGCATTGAATCGTAGAGACATTACAGACTAGGATGAATGTTTTGTGCATATTTGTGGACGTCGGAAAAACTTAAAGCCTGAAACCAATGTTTTATTTAGCTACGAGCTCTGAGGATATACTTTCATTTGTTAAGATTCTAGAACCAATTAGATAAGGTATAATTTCTTTCTCGGGATACGATTCAGCTGTGGGATCAGCGCCACAAAGGCCCCAATGAACATTAAAACATGTCTCATTTCTTTCTATATTTTATCCGCCGTACTTAAAACTGCTCTTTTCCGCCACCAATTTCATAGGGCCCAAACTGGAGTTCAAAGTTAACAGGAGAGTAATCATTATGTTCTGTTTATCAAGGCTTTTCTTTTAACATAAATATCACGCGGTATTACTCATTTTGTTGAAAAATGCCTTAAGAACAAAAAACATACTTTTACTAAAGACACATTATAGTATATGACTTTCTCTCCAGAAAGCCAGATCGACCTACGTTTCGTTTAACTTCTTAATGTTTGCGCTTTCTTCTGCAATTTTGTTTAGCTTTGTTCTTTTCGACAAAATTGATATATTTTCTTGATGAATAACAGGTTCACGTTTAATATGCAAAAACATTGATTTAAATTTAAACTGTGTTCTAGAGTGGAAACCATGGCAGCCTTAGAGTGGCAGCACCTCGATTCTCAACAAAAACCAAGGAAAACTGTATGCTTACCACATATTTCGCAGCTTTCGTAAGCAGAAGCCTGAATTCAAACATTGGATCCACATTGGCATAAATAACTTTAGTGGAGTCTTCTAGATAAATTCTATCATGAAGCAGCTTGTGGGACAAGAAGTGCTCCTGACCAGTCCATTTTTTACTAACGTTTGCCTCACCAAAATCTGTTTTAATCAGGGCCTCCGTGAAAACCGCGTTTTTGGGTGCAACCCCAGTAAAGTTGACATAGCAGTAGAATAGGAGTGTAAGTTTATTCTCCTTTGTATTTCCGGTAGCTTTCACATGTAGTTTCTTTATCTGGACCACCGCTTGCTTCTGAAAGTTGAATCAGATAAAGGAAAAGCTTAGACGCATATTAACCTAGACGGCTGGTCTTCATGAAGAAAAAGCCCGGGGTAAAGATGTCGTGGGCTGAGGAAGAATACAGAAGAAATGCCAAACATAGCTACCAGCATAGGTGAAAAAAATGCATACTCAGAAAATTCTTAAAGCCGAAGGAAAGTCGCCTGCAGCTGGCAGTGGCCTAAAACCATCATGCTCTCTGTTTGGCAATAAGGTGAACATGGCATGTTTCTTCGTAGACTGCGACAGAAAATGCGATTTGTTCAAACTGAAGGACGGTGTTGCAATAAGTATTACACTTAACAAAACTTTGCACGAAGGAAACTCACGGTAGATTCCCTATTGCACGAACAGTCAACCGAAATTCGGATATGTGTTTTCGGTTTGAACGTAGTAGCTACGCTTAATTGCGACAATTATCATTATATTGCAGCCTTATTTAAAAATATTTCCGTCTCTTTATACTGCCGGCTTTCGAACGAGCTGCTTTCTGGACGCCTGCAAAATGTATCTTTTACCAAAATGGCTACCTTAATAGTATGCATTTATCTCATTAATTTCAAATGCTTTTGTTAAGTCAAATATATTCTATAGAAAGGATAAACAAAGTATTCTTTCTTGTGCTCAAATTGTAAAAGCATTAACGTTTGCTTTAAATTTTATACGTCAACAGGTTGAAACGTCCTATTTTATTACAGTTTTTAATATTGATATTTTTTAAAACCGTAAATTGCGCATTCAAAAACCTACGTGGCTATCCATTTAGTAATGATGCTTATAAATTATACAACGTTGTCTACATCCATTGCAACATTTTATGAGAACTATGTGACCATGCGTTCTTTACCTTTCCGCACACAGAATATAGACAGCATATATTACGGAGACATTGAATGCAGGTGTAACAGGCGGTACAGTGCACAATAATTCGGAAATTTAGAAACTTTTCCTTTAGTGAATTACAGCCTTTCTTCGAGTAAAAAAAATGGCAAAGACGCAAGCAGAAATCAAACGAGTATCTGATGGCCATAATAAAATGCATGTGGCGCATCGACCGGGGCTCGGACTGCGGCCTTTTGGGCACAATTCCAACGCTCTGATCCACTGCGACACGGACCCGTTGGCTTCTCGGTTTCAATAAGGGGAATATTTACAATGGAAAATGAGCGCTCGCCGCTATATTAAGGGTCTCCAGTTCCCCGTTGCGCCTTAGGCCGCACTATCACAAATAGTCTTCTAGGCAAAACGCATTTGTGGCCGCTGACGGAACTCGAAAGTATGTATGAAGGCGGATGAGTAAGGGCCGTAACCAGTCGGTGAGCGACTATCTACCATGCTTAAGAATCTTATTTTTATAGATATTGCGTG